CTGGCCTTTTTCCCTTATTGCTTTTAAAATTCTTTGTTTTGTGCATTTTGTGTCTTGATTATTATGTGACGGGAGGTATTTCTTTTTTGATCTAGTCTGTTTGGTGTTCTGTAGGCTTCTTGTGTGATTATGGGCATCTCATTCCTTAGGTTAGGGAAGTTTTCCTCAATAATTTTGTTGAAGATATTTACTGGCCCTTTAAGTTGGGAATCTTCACTCTCATCTATACCTATTATCCTTAGGTTTGGTCTTCTCATTGCGTCCTGGTTTTCCTGGATATTTTGTGTTAAGAACTTTTTGCATTTTGCGTTTTCTTTGACAGTTGTGTCAATATTTTCTAAGGTATCTTCTGCACCTGATATTCTTTCTTCTATCTCTTGTTTTTCTGTTGTTGATGCTTGTGTCTATGACTCCTGATTTCTTTCTTAGGTTTTCTATCTCCAGGGTAGTCTCCCTTTGTGATTTCTTTATTGTTTCTACTTCCATTTTTATATCCTGGATGGTTTTCTTCAATTCCTTCATCTGTTTGTTTGTGTTTTCTTGTAATTCTTTAAAGGATTTTTGTGTTTCTTTAAGGACTTCATCCTGTTTTCCTGTGTTCTCCTCAAGTTTTTTGATAGTGTTATTTATTTCCTTCTTATAGTCCTCTAGCATCATCATTAGAAGTGATTTTAGATCTGGTTCTTGTTTTCCTGGTGATATGGGGAGTTCAGGACTTTCTAATGTGGGAGAACTGGGTTCTCATGATGGCAAGTACCTTGGGTTGCTGGTGCTTGTGTTCTTGCACTTGCCTTTTGCCATCTGGATCACCTTTGTGCTATCTGTGCTGTCTCTGACTTGGGCCTGTCTTTCCTATTATCTAGGTTGTGTCAGAACTGTTTGGGATGGGTTTTGCTGCTGGGGTTAGAGCTGAGGCCCAAGATGTGCTCCGTGCTCAGGTAGAAACAGGAAGGGGACCCAGGCTCCGGGTCAGGAGTGGATTCCTGGGTCCCAGTGGGTCCCGGTTGCTCCCTGTTTAGGGGCAAGTATTGCCACCTCCTAGCCTAAGATACTGCTTGAGTTAGAGCTACTGAGATCCCCGCTTCCTCTGGATTCTGTGAGATTGGGTGCAGAGCTGACTCCCAGGATCTGCCGAGTGCTCGGGCCCAGACCTGATGGACTCCATGCTCCAGGCCAGGAGCGAATTCCTGGATCCCATTGGGTCCCGGTTGCTCCCTGTTTGGGACAAGTGCTGCTTTTTCCTTACCTTGGATGCTGCCTGAGTTAAAGCTCCTGGGAGTCCCTCTTTCTCTCGGTTTTCTAGGGTTGGGTACAGAGCTGCCGCCTGTACTCTATGCTCTATGCTCGGCCCCAGACCGGAAGTCCAAAGTTATCTCTCTTGGGCAAGTTTGACAACAGGAAACATTTCACAAACTAACACATTACAAGTTCAAGCAATTTCTTCACGGATTCTCTCAATACAACAATGTTCAAATCTTGAACTTGTTATTCTCTATTACAGAGAAGCCCATGAGCTGGAACAGCTTAGTGTATGGGGCAGGGTAAGAAGAGTGGAGCAGAGGCAGGATGCCAACCAGCATGAACTCTGTAACAAGTACTCGAGATGCTGAAAGAACCTGGAAGCCATCATGTGCTTTGCATGCTGATAGGCAACAGAGTTAGTCATTTAGCCCCAGTTTCTGTTGAACCTGACACTAAGTTCCACCATGAAAGAGAAAATTATTTAGTAGCCATTCTTCTAGAGCCCCAGAAAACAGGAACCACCATCCCCATCAACCACCAGCACCACCATCCCCACTGACCTGTTAGAATTAAATCAGCAAACACACGGCTGTGCTCCACTCAGCAGTTTCTAAGGTTTTCTTCAAGTGTCACATCCTTGAGGCCTCTGCCACCCATTCAGGCCAACAGTTGACCTTTTTTCTTCCCCATCCTTTTCTCTCTGCCTACTCCTGCCTCCTTTCCCTTCCTTTCCATTCCCCGCTTCCTCTCTCCTTCCTTAACCCCTTCTTTCTTTTCCTCTTCTCTCCTCACGACATCCACAGCTGTCCTCCCTGCTTGCTTTTCTCACAAGACAACATACTAGGCAACTACTGCGCCAAAATGCCTCAGTCCACATTAGACTGCTGAAGCATTCGGTTGCTTGAATGTCAAAAAAAAAAAGTAGATGTTGTTTTAAAAAAAAAAAAACACTTACCTGCTCTGAAAAATAATAAGATCCACACATAAGTACGTGGCAGGTGCTATGCTCCAGTGCAGTGCTCAGTGATTTTTATCTGTTCATTTCTTTTTTTATATAATGTATGGTCTTTACTTACAAAATAAATAAAATATAAGCCATAATAAAATGAACATGCTTTATAATGCTTATAATTAAACAATACATCTAAAACAAATTCAACCAATTGGAATTTAGATAAGAAGTTATGAGTCACTATGAAGGGATGAACGACAATTATTTGTTAGTACACAGAATTTCTATTGAAGTGAGGAAAGTGATTGTAAATAGATGATGCTGAAGCTTTTTTCAGCACTGTGAATAATAGTAAAATATCACGGAAGTACACTAAGACTTTGAAATGAGAAATTTTTTGCAAATGAAAGAACAAAATTGGATTCACTACCAAGTCTGGAGATTCTGTTCTAAACATTACCCAACAAATTAAGATATTCTAAACCATGTATCAGAAATGCCTCCTATGTATACCATTAGCCAAAATGTCTTATCTTAAATTCTCTTTTATAGATAGTATCACTGCCAATAGTTTTGCTGCTGTCAATGACGTTGCCTCTGGAGACAATGATGCAGCTTCTATTGCTTCCATTTTTCCAGGTTTGATGTTATCTCATCCTTTTATCTTTCTTTTTGATTGTATATTTTATTTATTTACCTCTCCTCTTCACCTAAGTTCGGTGATACATTTTGTAATGCGGCATCATGATGCGGCAGGAGGAGATGCCTTAACAACCCATGCTGAGGCACCCTGCCCCCCAGATTCCAGCCATAAGATTTAATATAAAATGAAGTTTATTTGGGGCACGAGAAGTGTGAAGGTGTAATGAGAGTAGAGGCAAAGGAAGAGAGGGAACAGAGAAGGACAGAGGTAGGAGAGAAATAAAGAAGGGAAGAGATGAGATGGCTGGTGGGGGTTGGGGGGGGCAGAGAGAGAAAGAAAGAGGCCAAACAGTACTTTTTTAGCAAGCAAGGCTTGTACCTGGCTGTTGCTAGGTAACTGTTGGGCAGAGCCTAGAAGAAATGCTAACACTCGGGTATAGAGCAAAGGGAATCTAAAAGGTGAAGTCTACAGTAATATCACCATGACTCTTAAAGAATTATGTCCTCTTGAGTCTAATCTGAGCAACCAATAATTAAAATTCCATCTTATCTAGGTCCACTACACAATGATCGTACTACTGACCAACCTGGATTTTGTGATCCTGTGTGAAGACACCTCTCTACTGCTATAAATGTTAGCAGTAGACATTCTGATGAAAAGCAAGAGCTTTGTTTTGTATGGCCTTGCTCTAGTTGCAGAAGTCATTTTGTTGTTGTTTCGTTCTGGGAAAATAGCAAGTATTGGAAACAACTATTTATGAAAATTAACCAAACATAGGTGTAGCAGTGCTCATCTGTAATCCCAGAACCAAGGATACTGAGGCAAGAAGATTGTGAATTCAAGTTCACCCTGAGCTAGTAATAATACTGCCTCTACCTCCTCCTCCTCCTCCTCCTCCTCCTCCTCCTCCTCCTCCTCCTCCTCCCCACCACCCCCACCCACCACCACCACCACCCACCATCACCACCACCACCACCACCACCACCATAATCATCTTTCAGAAATTTGTAAGAAATTAGAGATCATTTCAGTAGTGTGGTCAGAGAAAAAAGACTCCATATTTTTTGTGATCAGAACAGAAATAGAAAACGCTTCTAACCCTTTTCAGCACTTTGGTATAATCCCAAAAGACAAGTTCATGACCAGTGGGCTTTTCTTATTTGAGAGACCAGCAGTTCAGACGTCCTGTTGAGTTGCACGAGGCTGGAGCTGCTTATTAGTAACGTGCAAAGGGTTCCCACGCTGGTCTGCTAAGGAATTACTAGAGAGGAGTAAACGACTGGCCCTCAACATCAAGTAGGTTGAAAATTGTGTTCTATGTTGTTGAATAATTGACCTGTCAATATTAAAGAGTTCATTTTGAAAAAAAAGAGTTCATTTTAAAATAGAAACACCAAATTATATTTGTATGGTTCTCATGAAAAATTGTAAAACATGTTTTCATTTTTGCCCCTCCCCGTTAGTTCACTGGCTAAGGGAATGTTGGTGCTAAGCTATCATCTTTGAGAGCACTCTGCCATCTTGTGGTTGTTGATGTTGACTGTAACAAATTGTCTTAGCCCAAAGAGTTTAGACAATCTTAGCCACAGACCAAATACTTCAAAAAGGCCATTTTCAAAGAATGGAATGTACTGTGGAAACAAGAAAGAAAAACAACTTCCATGTCTTTTCATTTCTTTGTCAGTTTATCTTCCTTTAAGATTATGTATTTCAGACTGGCCTAGAACTCATGGTGTAGAAGAGGATGGCCTCAAACTCAAAATGTTGCCTCAGCCTTCCAGGAGCCGGGATTAAAGGCGTGCACGGTCACGCCCGGGTCTCCAGCACTTTAAACAGGCTTCAAGACCTTAGAAATGTCTGCTTCATTTCAGCATGCTCTTGGATGCCTTTAAAATGAATCACTTTGCATTGCTGTGTGGTAGAAGCATGGGAGATTTGAGCCCCATCAGAGAGTACCAAACATTCTCGTTCAAATTACGAATAAGTGAGGCTGTGGGTTCCAAAAGTTAGTACTTAGGCTGGCTCCTAGTGGCTAGGATAGTCTCTGCAGACGCAAGAAGACTAAGAATGGAAAACTACAAATCCCAGGACGTTCAAGGAACAACCTAAAACTCCCAGCATGCCTTAGGGACCACACGGCGGCTGCGTAGACTGGCGCGCGGGTGCTCCTGGGATGTCAGCATGGCGGCGTTCGCAGATTTGGATCTAAGACCGGGCTCAGACCTGAAGGCTTTGCGCGGACTCGTGGAGACTGCTGCTCACCGTGAGTCTGCTGGCTTCGCGCTGTCCCCCATATCATCCAGCTTTGTTTGGTAGTTTTTTTTTTTTCAGGCGCCATTCGGGTCTCTCGTACGATCTGCCTGACGCCCCTAGAGGCAGATAATAGCTGCAGTATCTCCCAGATACTTTCTTTAAAAGTTCTGCCTGCTGTTCTCCCCTGGGTGAGAAACCCAGGCTCTTGACAAAGCTGTTGTTGCTTGTGTTTGCCCAGTCATTCGTGCAGAGGGAGCGAACAGAGGCCTAAGGGGTCGAGGAATTGGCATAGAGCCTGCGAGCTGATGAATGATAGAAACGGGGACTGGGCGCCTAAGCCGGTGCTTTTAATAAAATCAGCCCTTTTTGAGTCACACGACATTTGTCAAATACAGAAAGCTGGGTCTCGGGCAGGAACTACTATGGAAGCTTAGAGAATGGGAAGAGTGTTACCTGATTTCTCTCGAGCATCATAAGTTCCTTGAGCATAAGCATTGATCATGTGAGTTCTCACCTGGCATAGGGCCTGCCAAATAATAGGTTCTCAAATTCCTTCGAGAGGAAGGAAAGTATGGAGTTATTGGGCTGACTGATAAGAAGAAGGATCACTATTTTGTCATTACCATGCGTTATCTTTTAATATTAATACCCTATCATCCTGTCAGTATTTAGGCAACTTAAAGACAAGAGTCGTGACTTAAATGCATTGGGCATGGGGCACTAACACAAACAGTACACTAACTGTTGTGATGGTAAGGTAGGCCTGTAGTATTCCTTGTGTCTTATTGTAGAGTACCTCAAAAGAGGTGAGAAGGAGTCATCACTCCATTGCTCCTTAGGAAAGGAAGGAAAATAGAACGGGCATCGCAGAAGACCTTAGGAAGAACTTGAGTTTTTAGCATTGGGTTAACATAAACCGCAGCCTAAATATGTGCCTGGCTTCTAAATGTGGCAGCTAAATATGCATACTCTTCTAAAGTGCTGCTGCTGTTTCCGCTTAATTTTCTGGACATTTGAAAGTTCTGCCTACTGTTAACATCACTTGACAGATGAAGAACCGGAAACTTCACCTTAAGAACAATAAACAGTAGGGCTCAGGATCTGCCTCCTGCCCCGCCCCCTTATTTTCCAGGTCTTGGAATTAAATCCAGGGCTTTGTGTATGCTAAGCAAGCATTCTAACACTAAGCTACATCTCTAGTTTCATCACCTTTTTTTTTCTTTTCTTTTTTTTTTGGTTTTTCGAGACAGGTTTCTCTGTGTAGCCCCAGCTGTCCTGGAACTCACTCTGTAGACCAGGCTGGCCTCGAACTCAGAAATCCACCTGCCTCCCAAGTGCTGAGATTAAAGGCGTGTGCCACCACCCCCCGGCTCATCACGTATTTCTTAAATAATCGGTTTTTCTTTTCAGTTGGATACTCGGTTGTTGCCATCAATCACATTGTTGACTTTAAGGAAAAGAAACGGGTAAAGTAGAATTTCTCATTCTAATTGGTTGCTAAATACAAGTATTTATAAATATTTGTGTCTGTGTTGAGAATATGTAACTAGAAACAAGTGTAAAGATTAGTTACTTTTCTTGTTGCTATGACCACATATCTGCAAAAGCAACTTAAAGAAGGAGTTTATTTTGCTTCTACTCTGCAGGTACAGTCCACCATGGCAGTAGGAGCAGGAAGTGACTGGTCACAGTTTCTCCTCAGTCAGGAAGCAGAGAGACGAATGCTGAGGCTCGGCTCACCTTCTCTTTTTCAGTTAATTTGCTCAGGACCCCAACCCATGAAGTAGCACAGCTCCCATTCAGGATGGAAACAGCATTATAGAAATAGACAGAGATGTGTTTCCATGGTCATCTCTAATTCAGTCAAATTGGCAGTCAGGGATCCATCATCCTGTGTTTATCTGTTGAGACAAGGTCTTATATGTCTCACTCTGGCCAAGGATGACCTGCTGCCTCTGCCTTCCCAGTGCTGAGATTACAGGCCCGTGGCAAAGGCCTTATGCATTTTAGAAGGCACTGTACCAACTGAACTGTATCCCCAACCCTCAACTATATTCCTTTACAAACCCTGTGTTTATTTAGCAATTAAACATATTCATACAAATGATTTTTGTTTTGTTTATGAAAAACCCTTAATGTAGCATAAGGATTTCTAATGTTGAGTTTATACTATGTTACTTTCAAAGATGTTTAAAAGTACATTGCTGTTAAATGAACTGAAAGCGTAGTATCTTGTTTACTGTGCTATGGTCTTATGAACTCATTGACTGATTTCTCTCTTTGATAGACTGTCAATATGTATATTTCTTTTTAGGCTAACAAATATATATATAAAATTTCTGTCTTAAAGATTTGTTTTTTGTTTTGAGAGTTGTTTTATTTTTCCTAACAGAGTTTTTATATGTAGCCCTGGCTGTTTTAGAACACACTCTCTAGACCAGGATGACCTTGAACTCAGATCCTCCTGTCTCTGTGACTGCTGAAATTAAAAGCATGCAGGCACACACCACCAAAGTCTAGTCTTTACTCTTATCCTCTGATGTTCTTAGCATCTGCTCTTAGTCTCTGCTCTTTAGTTTCTTTCCTTAATAAAGAAAGAGAATAGCCTGGAGAGGTGGCTCAGGGGTTTAGAGCACTGACTGCCCTTCCAGAGATCTTGAGTTCAATTCCCAGCCACCACATGGTGGATCACAAACATCTGTAATGGGATCTGATGCCCTCTTCTGGTGTGTCTGAAGACAGCTACAATGTACTCATATACATAAAATAAATAAATAATTCTTAAAAAAAAAAAAAAAAAGAAAGGACAAAAGCTATTTAGTACATTTGAATACCTGAAGTTAGCTTTCTTTGATTTTTGCCCCCCTGAGAAGCATTTAAAGTGTTTTGCTGTGCTTCATTCTTTATCATGTAACCAGAGCAGCTGTGTCTCATTTGTTGTAGGAAATTGAAAAGCCAATAGCAGTTTCAGAACTCTTCACAACTTTACCAATTGTACAGGTAGGCATTTTATCCTTTAACTGTATGTGTGTTCACTCATTTCAAACATGCCCACCCTCACCTGTTATCTCTGACTTCAGCCTTGCCTGCCTCCTGCCAGTCAGGGATCACTTCATGAGTTTATTACTGCCCATCAGGTCATGTTTGGTACTGTTCCTTTGAAGTCCTAGGGCTGTTACATTCTTTATCATGTGGTTTACTGGACGAGCATAGTGTCTTCTTCTGCTGTTGTAAATTCCTGTAGAACAAGCATGCTTTGTTGATCTTTACTGTCCTTTATAATTTTTACTATTTTCCACTGGTAAAAAGACAATGAATCAATTGCATTTTATCTTTTTTAATAACTTTGTTTGTTTGTTTGTTCATAGGGAAAATCACGACCAATTAAAATTTTAACTAGATTGACAATTATAGTTACAGATCCATCTCACTGTAATGTTTTGGTGAGTTTATTATTTTTCTCCATTTGCCTCTTAAACTGTATTAACTATGTTGACTAATGTTAAATATTGTCGAATTCCATCTCACCCTATTCTTTCACCCCTCAAACCCGTGACATCTGCCTGTGTCCCTTGTGTGTAGAAGCTGCACAGTGTGTCTCTTCCAAAAAGCGAAAAGATGCTGACAGATAATGAAGAAATATTCCGTGATTCCAGCATTCAGGGATTGTACATTTGAATATACCTTTTCATTCTTGTATATATTATCAGGTTTAAGGGTTTCCTGTTAAACAGTAAATGTGTTTTATTGGCATAGTCACCTATCCTAGACCAAAAGTATTTTCTTTTATCTGGCATTTTAATTTATATTGAGCAGTATTTTTATTGTGAGCTTGTGTGTCACATTCATGTGAATTACCCACAACATATGAAACGGTCTTATCTAGCTATGTCTATCAAATAACAACAGAAAAGACAAATTAAACTAATTTCACTGAGGGCTGTCTTATTGTTTTTCGTGTGATAAAACACCATGACCAAAAAGCAGCTTGGAAAGGAAATGTTTATTTCAGGTTACAATTCAACATCATACTCCCATCATTTCATTAAAAGAAGTCTGAACAGGAACCGAGGCAGAAACCTGGAGGAACTGGTGCAGAGGCCGTAGAGAAACACTACTTACTGTCTTGCTCCTCATGACTTGCTCGGTCTGCTTTCTTATATCACCCAGGATCACCATCCTAAGAGTGGCACTGCCCATAATTAGCTGCCCTTCCCACATCAATCATCATCCAAGAAACTGCACCACAGGCCGATTTGGTGGGGGCATTTTCTCAATTGAGGTTCCCTCTTCCCAGATGCCTCTAGCTTTAAGTTGACAATAGCCAGCATGATTGTCTTCTTGTCTGCTTGACACACAAACACATCACTGTTAAGCCATTACCTTTCCTTCCTTGGTCATCACCAGGATCTCATGTGTAATGATATCATAATATAAAACATTCCAACTTTCAAAACTCCCATTGTCTATAAAAATTCGAACACTTCAAAAGTTCAGTCTCAACAGGCTGTGTTGGCACACACTCCTTTAATCCCAGTATTCAAAGTTCAAGCTTCTCTAAAATATCCAAAGTCTCCCTAAACTCAAAGTCTCTTTTCTGTGAGCTCTGTAAAATAAAAAATAAGATACATCCTTTCTTACTCCAAGAATCTGGGCATCAGCTGTCTCCCTGTTTCCTTTTCCAGACATACAAAGCTGCAAGTTTACAGCTTCTAGAGTTTAGTCATGTTTTTTTATAGTGAAAAAAGTTCATTGATTACTTTGTACAGTAGAAAGTTGTCTCAGGATTTACTCTTTGTTGTATTTTTTAAAAAAGTAATTTAGTAATTTAGCATTTCTCTATATTCTCTGAACGGCTACAGATTTGGGTTAAAAAGGATGTTTGTTCCCTAAACAGGTCCCATCTGTGTTACCTTGACTCAGTGCTGGAAATCTAGCCTCGGTCTATGACTGCTAAGTGTATGCTCTCCCATGTCAGCCCTCAAGTGAGCGGTGGTGAACACAGGGACTTGAGGCCAGGTGTGGTACCTCACACCTCAGCACTCAGAAGGCTGAGGCAGGTTTAGTGTTGGTAGACGACCAAGCATCTGTTTATATTTGTGTTACTGTACGATAACATTCCTTTTGTCTTACAGAGAGCAACTTCTTCAAGGGTCCGGCTGTATGACATTGTTGCAGTGTTTCCAAAGACAGAAAAACTTTTTCATGTAAGTGACAGGTGAAACAGTAGCGTTGTCTCATTTTTTATTTATGCATACATACATACATATACATACATATATTTATATATATACATATATGTAAATAAAAGTCTGTTGTTATACCACAGTAGGTACCCTGTTCATCTCACTTCTATTTCATTTCTGTTGTTGTGATAAAAGAACCAGATAAAAGGCAACAGGGAGAAAGGATTAGCTATTTTCCGTCATCATGAGAAAGCCAAGGCAGGAGTTTCAGACAGCTGCTGAGAGCATGTCTACAGTCTAGAGCGGAGAGAAATGCATGTGTATGCACTTGGTTGCTTGTGCAAAGCTCTGTTTCTCCATTCTTAAACAGTTCAACACACTACCATCACCACACTACTCCCGGCCTGGGGATTAGTCCTTCCCACAATGACTGAGTTTTCACAAATTGACTGTCTTAATTAAGATAATTCCCCATTGACATAATCTATGGCCAAATCAGTGTAGCTAAGTCCCTCATTGAGACTCTCTTCCCAGGTGATTCTAGGTTGTGTCAAATTTACAATTAAAGCTGACATCAGGGCCCATCTGGAAACTTAGAACTTTCTGTTTGCACTCTAGGGTCTGTCATTTCAAAGGGCAGTGGTTCTCAACCCTCCTAGTGCTATGACCCTTTAGTACAGTTCCTCATGTTACGGTGACCCCTAACTATAGAATTATTTAAACTGCTACCTTATAACTGTAATTTTGCTACCATTATGAAGATATCCTACATAAATATATGATATGTAGGATATCTTATATATGACACCTGTAAAAGGATCTTTCAGCTCTCTGTCTAGGGGGTTGAAACCCATGGGTTGAAAACCACTGTCATGGGACCATATTTAAGTGGCATGTTGGTTTGGTTTGGTTTGGTTTGGTTTGGTTTGGTTTGGTTTGGTTT